AGCGTGCTAAACTTCTCATCGCGATTTCTTGAAAACGCTTGAGAGTTGCGTCGTCTCCGTTTAGCATTTTTTGCTCTTATATCCAATCTACATTTCTGCAAAGTTTCATAAAAATCGGTGACCCCCAGGGTATAGGCACTCCTTGTTAGAGGTTAAATTTTTAATCAGAGCATCACATTTTATCACGAGTTTTTTTTCACTAATTAGAACTTGAGTCTGAAGTTGAGTCAGAAGATGAAGATTCTTTACTATCTGAGCTAGATGAGCTTAAGCTGATCTTTGTTTTGCTCTTGATCCAGCAGCACGTGGAGCTAAATACAGACTTCATCGCTGGTTCTGTTAGCTTTGGCCTCCAGGCCTTGTTGTCCCTTTCAAGGCTGCGAGCTTTCTCTGGAAAACAATAAAGTTTAGGCATAGCAAAGTTGTTCCTACAGGACAAGATTCTGAATTTCAGTGAGTTGTGAAAAATATTCAAGTGGCATACCTATGATAGCATTCAAGCCATCAGGGTGAAGCCTGTACTTAGGCGGGTTTTTCTTGTAGAAATCCGTCCCTTTTCCTCAGGGTGGAAAACCTTGAGGCGAAGAATTCAAAATGGCCTCTTTAGTGTAGACTTCTGCTGTCATATGTCTGATAAACTGTGATGCGCTCTTAGCAGATATGGCATCATTTAAGGCTTTTTGTGTTACGAATACATTAATATTTTCATGAAGTTGAACCACCTGCAATCATTCATAATAAACTCAAGTAGAAACAAATTATTCTTTAAAAAAAGGTCTAAGTTTAAACAAGGATCTTACCTTTGGATCTTGTTCACTCCAATTGAAGTTCACTCCTGGATAAATATCCATGATCCTCTTGACTGTCCGTCTCTTAGCCTTTACCTTCTTTTTCTGTTTTCCATGAGCATGCTTTTTCTTGCTTTTCTTGTGTGAGCGTTCTTGGAGGATTTAGATTTCACAGCAGTTGAATCTGATTCATCGCTTTCACTTGAAGAGCCTGTAGATTCGTCACGCTTTCCTTTCTTCTTATGTCTCTTCTTCTTCTTCTTTGGTACCTTAACAGTGCGTGAATGTGACGAGCAGTCTGACTCCCTATCTAAAGAGCGATGTCTTTTCTGTGAATTTTCTTCCACAACTGGAGAAACATTTAGATTATTGTCCTTATTGGATAAGTTAGAGTTGATGTCAATAATATCGAAAGGATGTGGTAAAGTCTCAGCTTCTTTATTTGCTGTTTTCCAATTAGAATCTTCATCAGACGAGTTCTTAGCATGCAATTGTTTAAGATTCTTCAGATCATTCAATTTCCCTTCAGTCTTCTAAAACAAACACAACAGAATATGTGTGAAGATAGTAATATACCTCAGCTTGCAAACCATGTTAAACTTCAGCAATGAGTGCAAGTTCACCTGAACACTGGGCTCATCAGTATCACTGGAATTTGAATCAGAATACTCAGATAATTCCTGTACACAAAAAAGAAGTGATTACATGTAGTGTTTGATCAGTAAAAGTTAAAAGAAAAAGAAATGAACAGTTGTATAAAATCGATACCTGAGAGACTACAACTTCTTTACTGATTCCGGCAACTACTAAGATTGAATCTTTATCCTTCTTGGCCATTTCGCCATCCATGACAGACTCAGCGGCCTCCCGAGCTTTGGAGATGGCTGCTTTAACTTGCTGATAAAAAAAAAACAAAGCGCGTCAGAATTTATCATGTCATGGGAAGTAGTCCAAAAACTCGCTTGCCATAACATTACACTCACTTGCTTCCGTTTAGACTGACTGGCCTTAAGTTTTTCAGTTGTAGGGTAAGGTTGCCTAAATCGTACCACTTTTCAGTTTATCGGAGCTGGAGGGCATACAAATGTAGTTACACCCAATTTTTTTTTTTTAAGTAGTACCTTTGTCTTTTGCGCACCTTTAGAAACAAAAACTAAATTTCCAAATTCAAAATTGTGCCCATAGTTTTAATTCTAGCAAAGGTCTTCAAGTGGTACGATTTGGGATACCAGTTGCCCAAATCGTACCACCCGTTCCCCAAATCGTACCTCACTCAAAATTCTCCCCTAAATC